GTACAGATGTAAGAAAAGGAGATTGAAACCAAGTAATCTGGACTAAGAAGGACAAATAATGATCTTGGGTAAGTTAGTGTATGAGTAACCTGCTTTTATGATCCATAAAAGAAGCTGGCTCCTCTGTAAAGGAAGAAAGACGGTCTGAAATTAAACTTTAAGCCTTATGTGCAGACCCTGGTGCATTCCACACTTGTTTATGAGAAAGTATATGGACACCTTTACAAGTAACTGTCTATTCTAGGATTTTGAGTAAAGTCCCAACTGTTTCAGTCCAGAGAACCTGGAAGTTATGTTTGACTTTTAAAATATTTTGTTTCCTCTTGGCAGCATGTCAATCTAGCTTTAAAGAGTCACATGGAATAACAGGAATGATACAAGCTGAAAAATTATTTACAGTAACTATATTTGGGTTGGCTCCTGGTTCAGTGTCAGAACAGAATCTCAAGGATTGTGGGAATGTTTAGTGGAACTAAATTGATTTGGTCCTGCTTCACTAGTATTGGGAAAGGCTATGCCAAAAAGTCATTAATTACCAAGTTTATACATTTCCAGCTGTATGAAAACTGATTTAAACAACTTGGTTTCGATTTTCCATCTGAGAAGCCCTCCTTCGTGCAATAAACTGCAATAACACTCAATAACAAACCAAGTCTTAATCTGTCACTGTCTGTTCTGATTTTAAGTTTGGAAGCTTCCATCAAGCACACAGTCAAGTGTAAGATCAAGCCAAAATTTAACAGCAGGAATTTAGCAACTACAAACTAAAAAGAAAATCAGCATTTTAAAGTATCACTAAAACCTGCACACATTCATTTTCTATAGCATAAGAGGAATTGTTTTCCCATGCTTCTGGTAATTGGAGAACACAGGAAAAGTCCTCCAAAATGATCAACTTTTCATAAGGAAAAGGTCTCACTTTTCCAAAATCATCTTTAAGGAAACACAGAATTCACACTCCCAAGCTTCTCTGTACCCAAGCTTTCATTAGTCTTGTTAAATGCTATGAAAATAACCTCAAGAGAAAATGGGAGTGACCACTGGATTCCACTCATGGAAATGATAAGTAAAGCACAGAGCCATAACTCTACCGAAGGGATATCAATGACTTAAATCAGACACAAAAGGGTACACAACATGTCACAAAATCCCCACCAGTTAGCAAGAGACATTTTTGTTACACAGATGATTTATATGGTTTCCATTGATTTCTGCAACTCTTTGAAAGTAAGGAGAAGAATAGTGTTATTGATCCTCTCACATTCCTAAAGAGTTTCAATTATATAAAAGGCTTGACAGAGCTCTCACCTTGACAGAGCTATTGTCTAAACAACATTTCTTAGAGTGAGAAATAATTTAAAGTAATGGTGTAATTTTAAGGTAGAAGTGGAAATGAAGTTGCAGCATATCAAAAGTCTTACTTGCAGGTAAAGCTCCTTTCTTTTACATATTTACAGGTAGGTTGTAGTCAGCAATAGGAGGTAAAAAAGGCACTGATGGGCATACACATGTTTAGATTTACTGTAAATCATTTATATTCCTATTTGATGCTGTTCAATTTCCTGTGCCTCAAACTGTCACAGTGCTTCTGTTCAACTGCACAGGTGGTAATATAGAGTTGCTRGGGCAGATTTGATAGAAGAAAATCTTAGAGTGATGTTCCATGGCTTCTCCACCTCCCTTCAATTCCTCCCTTCAAGTGAGACAAAATCATGGGTCTTCCAAAACCATAACACCTCTACTGTTATCAGGCTATTACTCCATACTGGCCATGGTACATCCAAATTAGAAGGCTCTGTATATTTTCTGGGAACAAAAACAATAGGTACTTTGATTTTGAAACTGGTTCCAAGTCCTCCCCAGGGCTCCAAAATTATATATCTATTCCAGTAAAAACAGGTAAGTCAAACATCTTATTCTGTGCCTCAAATTCTAATAAATGTTTTCACTGACAGAAAACAAACATAGCAAAAGACATACTGCCTGCCATTCAGTACTGCAGAAATCTACACTCACCACCATGGAAAAGTTATCTGTAGAGAATAAAGATCTTTTTCTTAGAATGAGTGTGTCATCCTCTCTCATGAAGAAAGAGATAATAGTTACAGAAATAATTTAACTTGCAGCAAATCTGRAAATCTGATCATAGTTGCAGAAATGGGGCTTTGTCTTTATGCAAATCACTTTGGTACGGTGGATCAAGGTGGGCTTTTCTTTTAGAGAATCTATTTCTAATTCAGCAAAAACATTAAGTTCCAGCTAAGATACCTCAACACYGGTGAACAGTGCCCAGCAACCATTTTGAAATTAACAAACCTAGTTACTTCCAGACTAACATGCACTGCAAATACAAAAATACAGCATTTGAGATGTAAGTTCTGCTCTCCTGCTGTCTCCTGCTCAAGTGAGAATCAGGAAATTTCCTGAGAAGAAATGCCTCCTATTGGTTTAGTGCATTACAATTAAAAACTTGAGTTTTACCAGTGGAAATTACCAAAATCTCAACTCCTGACAAGTTTTAACGATCTTATAACTGGTGTTTTATACATGGCATTTTTTTTCTCATTTCTTGGTTGTAGGGGAGCTCCCTGCTTCCCATTTGAACAGTCATTGTGTGAACACAATCCACTACTCACAAGATCTTTATTATTCTAGGAATAATACATATACTAGTACGTTTTGGACAGATGCACCACTTCAGTCCCTCAATAGGCACGTGAGAGTTGACATACTATCATTTCTCTTGTTCAGAGTATTTAATGGATTCAACTACACCAACTTCTCTTGTTGCCCAATGAAACAAATACTATCAGTAACTGGTTAAGAAATAGCTGTATATATGTTAGTACCTTAGGAAGAAACAAGTTCGTTATGATTTGGACATTAAGACTCAACCTGACAAGACTGAATAACCTAGTCTGAATTCAGTACTGACCCAGTTACAGGCAGCAGGGGCTGGACTAGGTGACCTTCAGAAGTCCTTTCCTTTCTGGATTTAGCTAGTCTGTCTGTAGTCTGACAAAATCCTGACAGCAAACAACTGTACTGCTACTGAATGATTTATCTGAAGTTTAATGCCAAAGTGTTCAAATGACACCACTGGATAAAATAGTTATTGCCTTCAGGAATGCTTCAGCTTAAACAGATAACTGGGTTTGCTTTACAAATTGCCACTTGGTGACAAAAAGTGTATTTACAGTTTTACTGAAAAAATATTAAAAACAGAAGGGGTAAGGAGCAGGTGATATGGTTTTACCTGATAGTGCGTGGTGACATAGGGGGTTTAGTAGCAATCCCAAATAACTCTGCCCTATATCCCACCCCGTAATCCTGTCCTCAGATTTGCATTAGTACAAGGTTTACCAGGGAGCAAGGACACAAGTTTAAAAATTCCCTTATTATAAGGGATGAGGAAGTTAACCTGACACAGTTGAATGCATCAAATCCTACTTTGTAGCACCAAAACACTGCATAAGCAAGATGAAGGGCAATAAGCACTAAGAACAGTGAGCTAGGAACACGGGACTAGGGAAAGGACACAGAGAAAACAAATTTCTYCTCATGTGCAGCATTAAAGTTCCAGTCTTATGAGATCACATCACAAGTTTGAAATGCTGAAGTGCTGCTTCATGCTGTTAGTTTAAATAGCCTTTTTCCAATAAGAAAAATTTGGAAAATATTCCATTGACTACCATAACTTCAACAGACAATGAGTTAGTTAAGGAGTGACAGGTTTAGCTTTTTAAAAAAAAAATCTGGGGAGCAAATGTTTTTATTTTCAACAACAAATGACTTCTGTTTCTTCTGAAAGTACATCTAATTTTGTTTTCTTTTTTTTTTTCTGAAGAGAAGTTCTATAACTCAGTCATGCTTACATTTATTTCTAGTGACAGTATCATAGATCTAGTCTGGATTAATAACTTAAAGGAAAACTCTGTATCTGTATCCATCTCACTTCTTCTAAGGCCATAATTATCGACAGGAAAGCTCTAGGCTGGTATTTAGAGGGGTGATGAGTTCTCCAAGAAATGGGCAGCCTACAGGTTGGTGCCTGGTTCACTGAGCAAGTGCCTCACATAAGCAAGCCTCAAGTGGGCGAACAGCCTTATACCCACTTTCTTTGAGGGACTCATCCCATAAAAGAATACAAACACAGATTTTATCACACTTCACCTGTACATAATTAAGGGGAGTATTTTTTAGTGTTTTATAATCTTAGATTGAGCGGGTTAAAAAAAAAACAAACAGGTTTTACTAGGTATATAGCTGGGTGTGTACGCTCCAAATCACAGTGCATTGTAGCGTAGTCACTCACAGCCAGGCTACCTTTGCAACTATTCCACTGCGACACTCTGTTACAAAAACCCAGCACATAACCTACCACAGCACTTCTGAATTTCCACAATACAGGTACAGAATGTAGTTTTCAGTCATGAGGTTTGAGCAGCAGCTTACACACTAGATGAGAGATTCTGCCCTGCCCTTGCTATTAATCAGTCTGTTCAATTAGCAGCTCAAGCAGTAGTCTCACCTTCAATTATATTCTCCCCTTTCTAGAAACTACAGAGCTGTACTAAAATTAGGTTGAACAAAGTAAGTTATGTCCTGAAATAAGGGCTAATTCCCACTGGGATAGCATACAGCTGCTTATCATAAGAGCATTGTACCTGAGCACTCTATTTTCTCCTCTCTCAAGTAAATTTAAACGCAATTTTGCAAAATACTGTTATATAACCAAATATAAAATATTTAAATACTGGTTTTTCTAATAGCATCACACMGTCCGAAACGCACCCCTTACTAGATAAGATTTTACAAATCTTAGTAACAAACTTTTTTCTTTTGCCTCTGTATTAGCAATTTACAATTGAGACAGAATTCTTTTTAGCACTGAAATACTGCTCTGTACCACCCCCAAAGTTGTGTCAGAAAGTTCATAAAGTATGATAATTTAATTTTAACTAGTAAAGTAGCAATATTCCAGTGAAAAAATCTCTTACCAGAGCTTGATGACAGTAGAGCTTGTTTGTGAGAAGGTGTGCTGATCATTTTATTTTCACATACTCTCTTCAAGGTCGACACAGATGGCACCATTTTCACCTTGGGAGTTAACACACTTCGTAGTGTGACTGGGTCTTCCTTTGGTATGTTTTTCCCTTGTGTTGTCCCATTTTTCACAGAAGGCATCTATTTTAAGAAAAAAAGCAGAAACCAAAAAACCAACAACAATACAACCCACACGCCACCACTGTGAGAAACTAAAGATTTCCCTTTGCAGCATCTGTAATGAAATACTGACCACCCAAGTAGGGAATACGCTTAGCTAGTCTTTATCCTATTGTCCACATCTGCAGTTCAGAACCTCAAGAACTATCTCCTGAATGGCCTTCAGCAACACAACCTATTAGTTTGAAGCTAATCACTAGWAATGAACCAACAAACTAAAAAGAGGTTACAGAGGTCACTTTACATCAGAATTTCTTCCTCTTCCTCACAAAACTCTAATTAGCCACTCAATTACATGAGTACACCTAATCTCAAACCTTAACCAACAAACTACATGTTAGTGCCYTGAGAAGTTATTGTCCTGTACTACCTGAAATGTCACAGCCCTTATAATAGTTTCCTGGTCTAGGTCTTATGTCACAACAGCTTAAAATCCTTCACATTGAGGTGCCATAGACAAAACGTAAGTGAAGGAGTGAACTCAGGACAGGTTTAAAATAACTAGTTTAAATGTATGAAGCACCTGTTTCACATGGAATTTTTGCTCCAGTTTATACAGACATTAGTTCATGGCCACTCTTGTCAAGCCTATAAGCACACACTTTACAGTTCAGCTCTTCACGTGCTTTTCTGGGACTCAAGCTGATTGCAGCAATTCAGTTGGAGTACCACATTTTCCCCTTTTGACTCCAATCCTCATCTTCATTTTCCGATGTTAACCTGTACTTTTCAAAAGTACAAGTTTCCAGGTACAAGAAAAACCATTAAAATCACAAAGATTCCCTTTTTGGCAATGGGTGAATTATAAGCATTCTCTCCAACCGTTAGTACCAAAAGTAAGGACTGACACAGAATCCAAAGTCTTAAAAACTTCAGAATTAAAATAGACCATTCTTGCTTTCATGCTAATTTAAGTTTTCAAGTTAAATTATTATTCTAATAAATAATACTACTTATTAATTTCTTGTGCAATGTTTCAAAAATGTTCTAAGTATCTTCCCTGATATACTGAGTTTTACAGGAACTTTTCTGGTGAATTTGTGAAGTCTGTCAAAAATTCAGACCATGACAGTTTTACCAGTAACAACTGCTGCTTCCATTTCATTGATTTAAAGTAAGCTGTTGAACCCACAAGCCAGCAACAGGAGAGCCTTCATATAGCACCAAGACTCCAATGTCCCTATCACACCTCCTGAAATCCTGGTCAATCCAACCCCAACACTCTTCCCTTCTTTCCCTTTGTTGATTTTCTTTTCACCTTCTTTCAGTGTATTTGAAAGCAGCAGGTTTCTCCTGACAGGCAGCTGACTCATCCTAAAATATTTCCCAACCAACCAGCACATGCATACCTCCCGGCMAGGAAGTTTGCACCTTCCAGCTGGCTGACAGCCTAAAACCAGGTATATGCCCTCTGCATGAGAAATATTTCCTGACTACTCGTAACTATTCTAATGAGTGCCAGTTTTACTTCAGACAAATAAACTCCCAAACTGTACAAAGCAGAAAGTGAAATTAAGTTGTTAAAAATAGAATGTTTCACAAGCTTTTTGGTCTCTGGGTTTTGTGTGACTTGTGTTACTGTTAATATATACACAACATTTACAAAACTACTTTTAAAAAGTCTACTTTAGTTCTAAAGCACATTTTGAAATAAAATACTGAAAACAGCTATTTATCTCTAATGTCTATCTGAAGCTACAGCACCACTACAATTATCTTGAGAAAATATATATTAAAAGCTGTATTTAGAAAACATCACCAAATTATGCTAAGCAATTTTACAAGGTTGACCAAATTAAGACTTGTTTGCTTTTATTAGGCATCATACAAACTGTATTGTCCTAAAAAGACCTTACTAAAAAAAATTTATACTATGGAATAAGATTAATGTGGACACACTAAATTGCAGCTGAGGCTAAGTGCAACTAGCTTCTAAAACAGTACTTCTTCCCTGTCTTTACTGGGGGAGACACTCCACTCAGAAATCGACACTACAGTTAACGTCTGTAGACACCAAACCCATTCCACAATTTCCACACTGTGCAATACTGAACATCCTTTCTGCAAACGTACAAAATAGACAAATAAGTATGACAGAAAAAAAAACTTACCAAAGGAACAGAGTGCACGTGAAATGTTACATTTGCTTTATCTTTTACCAGCGTAGCTTCCAGAAGCACTCCTACATTGCTGCTTTGCTCTGTTTCACCTTTGTTCAGGTCGATGTTTGGAGCACAAGGCGCCATTAAGGAGTTTGAACTTTCCATTTCATCATTTAGCATCTCTTTCGAGTTCTCTCCACTTGTTGGAAGCACAGCAGAAGCCAAGGAGCATGCCGAATGGGTAGCGCTTGCTTTGTCAATGTCTTGTGGACTTTGCTTTAACACAGGTGTTTTCGAAGCCTTGTGGGAAGCTGGGATGTTTCTGGGATGTGTTGTGGCATGTACGACTTGGCTAGTGAAGAGGTGTTTGTTAACATGATTATGGGGCTTATTCACAGACAATTCCACCTTAGGATCTTTAGCCAGATCTATTGTCTTTTTCAGCACTTTTAYAGAGGAGGACAATTGCCTCGGGGAACCAACCCGTGAAGGTGAGGAGACAGATGACAGTCGAGGGGACTGGGAAGCCTGTTTCAATGATGCACTGTCTCTTGACTGTAGCACAGGTCTAGACACAACCTTTGGCTTAACATTTTTAAAATTAGGTTTGGGAAAATTAACAATCTCAGACTTCTTTGCTTTGGTTATTGTTGATGCAATAGGAGACCTGCCCACTGGTTTTCTTGCAGTTTGATCTGAATTACCTTTCAGCACAGATCTTCTGTTATGCCCTCCTACAAATTTTTCATTTGGTCTTAGTTTAGAAGACTTGTCTCCAAGTTCTTCCAAAGCTGAAACAGAAAAAGTTCTATTTTTTGACTGTTCTTTAGGGGTTGAAGTACAGAGAGACAAATTGCTTTCATCAGCCATTGGACTGAAGACTACAAAAGTTGCTTCGCATTTCAGTTCAGTCATAACAGTCTTCTTTAATTTTGGTACATCGCAATTTACAGAAGGGATGTTGCACATATCCTGAAGCGCAGCATTTCCAGCAATAATTTGTTCTTTGGTTAAGGGTTCACTGGGTTTCTCTGATTTTTGTTCTCCATCCATTTCATCTACTGGGAGAAGGTGCACACTATTTACAAGACTATCCATGTATGTTTCAGCAATAGAATTCCCAGTTTCATCATGGTCAGGAGTAATCTGCAAGGATTTCACTTGGTCATCTTTATTAATACTAATAAAAGGTGATAATACATCTCGCCTATAAAGATCTATACATCCAGCAGCTAGTTCTACAGCCTGTGCTTCTGTTTCTTGTGATTCCTTATCAGTCTCGATAGTGTCTTTTTGATAATGTTCAACATCTGCAGAGGTGAAATTAGGTGTTCTTTCTGAGCTGGTTCTAGAAAWTTTCTGTCTGGTATATACTTCAGAAGAGATCAATGTTTCTCCCAGATGTATGTCATCATTTTGATCAGTTCCCAGAGTTTCATCTGTAACATTAGTAACATCCAATGTGCTCAGCTGGCAGCATGCCCTGTCATTTTGCAGGGACTGCATGTTCTGCTCTGAAGCAGGAAGAGCTAGTACACATTTAGAGTCAGTCTGACTGTAAGGCACTGAGTGTTTGATACACTGATTTTGCATTTTTGCCATAGCAAAGTCACCTTTCTCTAAGTTTGTCATTGCTTTCAAGTCACAGTTCAGAGGACACATACAAGTCTGTTCAGTCACAGAATACATGCAAGCAGCATCTGTATCTCCCAACGGAGCTCCGGTCCAGTTATATTTACCAGGTGTGTCCTTCAGATCAAGTACTTCAATACACTGCTGGTTTAAAAGACTTCTGAAGTCACCCTTATATTCAAAAGTAGTATCACCTTCATGCTCAGCCACTGTATTTTGATCAGTTGAATTACTGTGCATCTTGCTGGCACAATTCTCTGAGGAAGGTGTAGCTCTGTTACAGGCATAGTTATTTCCATTTTCATCCCTTATAAGTAAGGAAGATTTCAAGCCATTCTTTGCTTTGTCATCGGACTTCCCAACATTCATTTTGAAGGCTAAATTTTAAACCGTTTTCATTTTAGACTTCTTTAAAATCGCAGAGAAAGCAAATTCTTCTGAACTTTGGAGAAAAAAAAACAACCGCTTTTCCCTGAAATGTGTCAATTGTCCTGAAGATATTTAAAAAGCAGTTCTTTGTTTCTGTGTTTCCCAAGAAGATTCAAACGTTCTAGAATTAAAAAGAAACTTTAAAAAGTTAGCCAAACCACGATTTTAAGACAGTAAGGATTCTTAAACTCATAGTTTTCAGACGTCAGAGCAGCAATATAGAAGCAACACTCAGAATCCCACTGAAGAAAAACTTCAGTCCTCATCCCCTGATACAGAGCAGTAACATCCCAGAGATCAGGTTTTCTCTGCAATGAAGGCCTTTTTCCAGCCCTTTGAGGCAACAATGTATAGCAGAGGCAGCTGAAGATTTTCGAAGAGTTGTTTAAGATGTATGAGTTGAAATAAAGAGAGGTTTGTGATCAGCTCTAGAGTTACAACAGTGCACTGCCCCCATGCTGCTGGGGCAGCCTACTGGTAGATGCATGTGACCCCTTTAGAGTCTGTGGAGATCAATTCCATACCAGGTAACTGCCTCCATCTTCTATAAAGATGACACGAGATTAGCCAAGTGAGGAAACAATTCCAGTGTCCTCTCCATCAGAGCAGAGCCACATATCCTGACCCAAAACCCTACGGAAATGTCAAAGGGCAGGTTAGACTTGGACAGACGATGGAGGACAACTGGCCACACATGGGGTGGAGATGCACAAACTAGGAAAGAAGAGCTCTTGCAACATATAGGGACAAATTCCTAACAAGTGCTAAGATTGCACCTAGTACCAAAACCACGAGGATGTTGATGAAACAGAAGATGAAACTGTCCAAAGCAGCTGGAGGACCTCCATAGCTCAACCCCACATGAAAGGCTCCTAGTACCAGAAATGAGACCAGAGGTAGGAAGAACTCCAGATCTATAAGATATGGTTGCAGTGGCTGGGGAATCTGCCAGCACTCACTTTCAGAGTAATAAAACCTGCATAGGTTGGAAGTTCACTGACAATGCAATCAGGCTGAAGAGGCATTCACTGACAAAGGTCAGCTTCCCAACAGAAGGAAAAGGACCATTAGACAAGTGTTGAACACCTTCGCATGTCTGGAATGACAGATTACACTCCCCAATCAAAGAGCAGGAAGAAGGATACTTGTCATCAAAAACCATGAGCAAACAGGCCTGTGGTGTTTAACCAAACATACAGACATCAGTGCGGTATCCTCAAACAAGGACACTGATGTAATGAGATATTTGAAATTTGGTGTAAAGAGAGCAACAGGAAATGTACAGGATTAAGTACGTAGGGTAGGCAGAATAACTCATAATTCACTGAAGAATTTATATCAAAGTCTGAAACTATTTGACTGTTTCAACTATGGTGATAATACTGGATGCAATACAACAAGACAGCTGTTACAAGATCGGAAGATATGATAATACTAATAATAGACTTCTACTGTAGCAATGTTGATTAGGCACATTGAAGAATAATCCTGTGATCATATTTTTGTAGAGGAATCAAAGACTGCTGTGGGAAACATGTTAGTTTTGGGAAGAGAAGAAACTTTTGATTCATTCTTTAACAAAAAAGTTTAAATCCTCACAGAATCCATYTGGAAACCACAGCAGGGGAAAGAAAGTAAACTTATCCACAAATACTTCAGAAAGCGTAAATTGAAACCAGCACACTAAGCAGCAAAAGGTAAGTTACTTCTTGAATTATTCAAAATTAATTTTTTTCCTTAAACCTTACTTTCCTTCAGCTGGAAACACAGTTTGAGTAACTACATTCAAAACAAACCTTTTATCGTATTAATGAAAAGTACAAAGTTGCAGGGCCCATAAACAGTTTTGAGTACAAAAGCAGCACCCAAACTCAGACTGTTCTAGAACTGCAAGAATTTGCCTGCTCTATAAACCAAACACAGTGGCTTCTGGTCCACAACCTTGTCTTTACATGGTAGTTTGAACATCTGACTCAGATTGAGGGTAAGAAGACCATGAAACAAGGAAACAAAACTACCGACATCAGACAGCACATCCTTCTCTGCCCCCACTCCCTCCCCCAAGATAAAATTATTTTTCTAGCTAAAAAAATCTCCTGATTCCTCAAGGCTGATCTTTTGCTTAGCAGTACTATTCAATCCCTATAAATGCATAAACAACTGTAGTACCCTTATTTTCACATTCAATTACAAAACTTAAAGCACATTGAAGAGTTCTTCCAAAAAAGTCTTCCCTGAAGGCAGGGCAGGAACCTGTTCAGAATAATTTTCCWTTAGTTTAAGTCAATCACAGAATCAACTGCTGAGAAATATTTATGAACTTTGCTTTCATTGTTGTTTTGACATATTAAAACTTGTTTCTACTTGCCCTTAAACCTAGTCATGCAACAAAAGTTAAAGATTCCATTTTGATTCAACAGTAACTCAACAAACCAGAAGTCTTACCTCTTTCAAGAGCTTACTTTCTGCAGAAAATAGGCAATTTCAATATACCAAGACTTAGCAAGACTAAGATCCTAAATATGTAAAGAATGATGCATTACCTTACAGTATGGTAGCTGATAGTGTCAAAATTTGAAACACAGGTAGCTAAGCAAACTTTGATTCAACTGATGCTAAAGAAGCTCCAAGAAAAATAAAAGTAGTTTTGATAATGAGTAGAGAAATGAGAAAGTACATTAAAGTTGCAGATATCAAAGTGTACATGTGTGYATACAAGTCTGTTTACTCAGTACTCTGGACATTCACATAACCAGAGAGCATATAGCAATTCAAMTATCTTTAAAGCAAATTTTCACTTTAGTAATCAACATTTTCATGAGCAAGTTGACCAGTTTCAAATACAGCTTCACATTCATTTAGAGTCCTGAAAGCATTCTGCATAAAAAGAGAGGTATTCCTAATGATCAGCTACAATGTAGAAAATCTGTAACCTAGATGAACATTGCTCCTCAAAGAGCTGACATTCTGTAACTCTCCATATACYAATATGCTCATTAAGTTTATGAAATATGTTCATTAAGCTTATGAAAACACTTCTGGGTGATGAGAAATTCTTTTGCTTAAGATTTGCTGTAGAAGGCTGAATGAAAAATTAACCTCAGTCCAGCATCTCCTCCATGGGGGGGGTGGGTAGCAGATGCACAGACGCAACACTTGCCCTCGCTGAGAACACACTGTTCCTGGCAAGTAGTGACTTGAGAATTCGCTAAACTAAATACTAATAAACTTGCTTTGACTTTGTCTGACATCAAGCATTATGCATGCCTGGCCTCCACAACACGCAACAGGGCAGTGGCAAACAGTTCAGCTGTTTTTTGTGCCTTCAGTAGAGCTCAGCTTGGCTAATTTCAGTTGCGCACCTCAAGTGCTTACACACAGCAGAGGAAGTCCTCACTATGTGAGCTCGTAAGTTTTCCCCTTCTTCAACAGATGTAAGAGCTTGGGGTAACAGTAGTACCACTTGGAGATAGGAAAAAAAAAAAAAAAAAAAAAAAAAAAAAGGAAAGAAGCTTGGCAAGTAGATTCTATTAAAAAAGGAGGTACTGACTGCTAGCAGCCCCAGATCCAGAAGAAATACGCTACAACGTATAGAACTGGGCTCAGAGCAAGATCTTGTCACTTCTACTGACCAAGAAGAGGTGTCCAGGGGTATGCTGTTAAAAGGCAGGGGGACAGTGACTCGTTCAGTGCAAGGTAAACAGGAATCAAAACCAGATCAATTACAACATATAATTCAACCCACAGGTTGAAAAATTGTTACAGCAATTCAAATTATTACAGCCACACAAAGTTTGTGTTAGTGCCACAATGCAGACAGTAATAATAATTAACACTTTTTYTGGTACCCCATCTGGAACTTGATCCTTTCAAGCAAATGACTATGCAGCATTTGCTCAAAACCATCAGCTATGTTTGTCCCCCTGTGTGAAGGGGGACATGGGATCAGGAATGAATCTGAAAGGAGAGGATGTGCCCAAACATGCAGGGAGGCAGTCTAGAAATGCTCTAATTAACCGAACATGCTTTGACACCAGACAAAATGCAGCATCAGCATTCCAGCAGAAAACTGTATTACATGGTCATGATTATSACAGTCCCTGAAATCCAAAATCATACATGGCATTTCATATGTTAACCCATTACACCACAACCAGTTTACTTGACCACAGCCTGGAACACAACACAATCACAAAAGTATGACTTTTTCACCATATAAACCTGAAAGCAGAAATGGCATCATCCAGAAGGGAGTCTATAGCAACCAGGCCTCCTCCCAACATGCTGCCCACTGTCACTCAAATGTGCTGCATAAAAAGGTGCTGGAAAAACACACAATGGTAATGCTGCATTTATTCAGAATTGCAGATTTTGAAGCTCTCTGTCCACCTCAGTAATATCACATCCTAATGTGAACTGGACTATTGCCAAGTTAATTCAAACTATTATAGACAAGGTAGGTAAAGCTCCTATAACTACTGCACCCAAACATTTATAACACTACAAGTACAATCTGCTCCTAAAAGTAAATTACATTAAGTGCTCATATGCTAATGGCATTGCTTGCTTAAGAATACACAGTATTAACAGTGAGTGTACTAYGAAAGTGTTTATAAAAGAACAAAAAAAGAAAAACAACAAATCACCAMACCAAAAACAAATCCACTCCAGAGGGTAGCTAAGCAATATCTGAAAGCTTTAGCCAAAACCATTTTAGAAGTCAGAAACCATGCTAGACACTTGCTGCAGTAAACAGAAATAATGTGCAAGTTACGTTCGCAAGCTATCACAGAGGCATGTTTTACTGAAGGAGTAGTGTCACTTCCAGAGACATAAACCACCAGGTTTTGCCTTCTACTTGGCTATTTGCTTCAAGACTGAAACAGCAGCGTAACGTAAAAGTTATAGTAAACAACTGAATTTTAATCAGTTAACATCTTGCCTCTAAGATACAGAAGAAGTGAAGTAGAATGGCAGTTCTACTGCAGAAATCAGACGTCCCTAAATTGTGCAAGAGGTGTTGGCATCCATAAGATGCTCAAACCATGACCCMCCACCACACTACCCCAAAAGTTAGACTAACAGGTGATCCTAACAGGCACATCAACCCTAATAGTTTAT